TGGCTGTTCTAGAATTTAAGAAGTGGATGGGTGGTTTCAGTAGATGACCAACCCAAGATTCCTTAGTTAAGGACGCTTCTCACATTTCAGATCTTATACACTGCTGATAGCATGCACTTAGTTTTCTAGCTTTGGGGGAAGTCCGCTTTGCTCTATATACTAATTCTAAACTATACAACCTTTCTAGATTACAGGCGCCGCAAGGGCGGGCAGGGAGGTCTCGCTGTCGGATTCCCTGCTGATCCCAGCACAGCCCCCTGCACAGGGCAGGTGGTAACAAACACCGGGTGCGCGACGACCCCTTTGGATGTAGTCCCCCTCCCCCCTCCCCCTCCCCCCCCCCACCCGCCCCAGGTCGCCCACTGGCTACCACTTGGAAGGTGCTGGTGGCAGCACAAGACATTTTTACTGTAGGGACACAAGCCTTAGAAGGAAGAGGACCCGCCTTACCCGGATACCTGACTTAGGTTAACCGAACTAGAGTTCTGCGGTTGACATGGTGAGAATGCCAGCTTCTGGTTTCCTTGATTCTAACCAGCTTTCCAAGTCAGCCCAACCCAGCGTGGGCTCAATGGGCCTCGCCGGGAGAGGCAGGCTCCGAAGCCCTTTCCCAGGATGCGCTCTGGCCTGGGGGCCGTGTGAACATCCAGAAGGAAGCAGGAAGACCAGGTATGAAGGCCTTGCTTTTTACCGAAAAGTTATTTTTCCTACCTGGGACCCTTTCTTCTGGCACCGCCACTGTTTTCTGTTCCTTTTGGGAGATCTGGTTGAAATGTGCCTCTGGAGCCCATTTTGTGTAATCCCACTAAGATGTTGAGCCATCAGCACCATAGTTATGCATATTCATCTCTGTCGATGGGTGGCTCCCTGGGAAGATCTATTTTCAGGACCACATGTTTACATTGCTGAGGGGGAGGGGGTGCCAGATCAAAGCCCCGTGGCTGAGCAGGGAGCTGGCAGAGCCCCCCAGGCTCGTCCTGGGATGGGGAAGGAGGACAAAGTGCAGAATGCACTTGGCTAATGACAGAAGTTGCTACGCTCCTTGTTCGGTGTAAGGGAAATTGCCCAAAGGTTGGAAAAAGAGGGAGCAGCTTCTCCACACAAACAGGTTTAAATTGAATATTAGGGACAGAGGACACATGTGCCCGGCTGCAGCCAAAGAAGGCAGGAAGAGCAGGCAGTTGCTGGCAGCAGGTGCCACAGGATGGTGTAAGGGCCCGGAAGCTTCTCTGCCCTGCGCTCTGGTTGTAGGGGTGGTAGGAGAGGGGACTGGGGCACGAGAAGGGTCCCATCAACTTTGTGACTCTGTTCGGAGCCCAGTGCTGCCTTCTCCAAGTCTAATTGCTTTCTGTAGTTTTCCCCTATGCTGCTCTTAAATGCTGGCTATTCGTTTAACCTAGTTCATTCTTTGTGTTAACGGCGACTGAATGATCACTCACTCGGAGGCCCAGGGACCTGGCTTCCAGTCTTGGCCTGGCCGCTTGCTGGTAGTGGGACTCAACTTCTCTGTTCCTCAAGTTGCCTTGTGTGTAAAATGGAGAGAATGGGATTTAGGATTGTTGGAAGAACTGAACGAGTCAACACCAGAAAGCATGTGTTATATGAGGCGTTTGCTATTACTGTGGAATAGCAATCAGATATATGGCTGGGCCAGATTTTAGCCACTGAGCACTTGTTTTTGCCCATTTCCTGTTTTTGTCCTTTGAGATCTAGAAGTAGTACCAGTAGGTTTTTCTGCCAGATTTCTGGATTGGTTAAAAAAAAAAAAAAAAAAGTGTTCACTTCCATAAGCTCTGGTCTCCAGAGGATGTCACCCAGGGATGCAGAAACACGCTGACATTTCCAGAGGAGACCATGAAACTTTCTTCTTTCCGTTCGGGATTCTCTTTATTCCTTTGCCGCCTTTATATCAGAGCATTAGGGATTATCGTAGGGGTTTATTAACGAACGTAGAGTAGAAATTCGTTTTCTTTGGAAAGGTGAGCCACTTAGCACAGAAAGTCTAACATTATGTAAGACCCTGTGAGGAGAGCAGGAGCTGCCTCTTTACAAATAGAGTTACATCTGTGATTTTGGGAAAAATGCCCGAGACCTTTCTGTGGTCCTTGAGGACCACAGTCCTGGGCGTCCCAGGCTCCCCCACTCCCGCAGCCTAGTTGGAGCCGGACACGATGGCTCGTTTCCCTCGCCCCCTGCCTGCTCTCTGAACACGTACCCTCCTTCTTGCCTCCTCCCTCCCTGTTCCTGAAGCATGTCTTCCTTGTAGTTTGAGTGGCAGAAACACAAGCTTTGAGGTTACAAAATGCGAAGTGAAGTCCTGGCCCTTCCCAGGCCACTTCCCAATCCCCAGCACCCCCCCCCCCCCCCCCCCCCCCCCAGCTCTTCTTGCCCAAAGTCCTACATGTCCGTTCTTCAGGCTTGTCAGCTTTGTCCTAAAAACATGCTCTTGAACTCTCGTTTCAGTTCCAGCTTTAAGCTGGAAACCGAATTCCTTCTAGAAGTTATACTAACACCTCAGTGTGTTCAAAATCTAATCCAACACCATTTCCCCCTTTTGGATCCCATGTTATTGAGGAAAAATCACATTGTTCAGGGAGTTTGCTCAGATGTGTCAGCCATTCTGTGTCTGACTCATCGAGACCAGCAATTCTTCCCCCAGGGCAGCCTTTCGGGGGTTCGTGTCTGTGGGTCATAGATTCATGGTCAGCGAGGATGAATAAGGGAGCGGTGAAAACCCCATCATTTCCATGCTTTCAAAACTGAGGAATGTACGAATGCTCCCGAAGTCCTCAGAAAGAAAATTTTGCAGCAGCCAGCGTAGGGCTGTGGCTAGAGGCTCTGGGTCCCTGCGTAGCACCGGCGAGCCGGTAAGAGGGGGTGCGGCGCACAAGGGCTGGCTCGGGGGGAGGGGAGGCCAGCCAGGATCACCAGGGTTACCCAGCGGTAGCATTAGAGAGCGCAGTCATGCCATAAATGAAAATGAAGCTATTCGCCTATCAGGTGGGAGTGTAAACGAAAAGTAATTTCCTGTCACGTGAGGAGATGGGACTTCGTTCCTACCAGAATGACGGTGTCCACAGCAGCAGCCGGACAGTCCTGGAAACCAGCAGCATGAGCAAAGGAAAAGTCAAGACACGTGGAACATTTTGATTATTTTATTTCATAATCTTCAAAATTTTCTGCCACGAGACAGGAATGCATGATAGAAATGGCTCAACATCTTCACATGAAACGCTTGGATTCATTTTCATTCACGAGTTTTTCTAAAAACATCTACAATTTCATAATCCCACCCACCTGCAACCATTATCACAGATTTAATTGACCATTAAACAGTAGTTGCCAGCAAGAGGGCTGGACCGCTTCTGCGTGTTAGTAGTGTCTCATTTTGAAACTACCACCCAAGAGTCTCACGAGTATACATCTTGTACACGGCAACCGCGGCGGCGCCTGGGGTCCCGGGTTCACGCCCTGCTGATCGGAGAGCTGTATCTCCCAGGTAAAGAAATGCTTTTTCTTCTAGAACTACTTGTTCGTCTCCGTATTTTTCTTGCAGGGAAGAGCACATGCTGATCTGATGACTTAGTTACACTGATAGGCAAGTATATATGCCTGACATTTACTGATGCTCTGATGATTAGGTACAGAACATACTGAAAAAAGATGGATTGCTTGGAATCTAGGTCTCTTTTGAAGAGAACTCCTTTGAGGTTGTTTTGAACTGTAAACAAAAGGAAAGAGATACGTGGACATATACCTATACACGTAGAAATATACACTGAGTATTTTCAATGTGGTGTATATCTTCCCCTATAGAGTGTCTACACTCACCCCTTCACACATACCCACACCCTTACATACAGCATGTGAATATAAACGTTGTGAGTGTCCTTGGGAGTTCACTGGAGTTTGTATGTTAATTACCAAATGATGATGAAATACCTGATTTGTATTACTCCTGAGAAGATACTAGAAGGGAATGACAGTTCTGATGCACTTTGGAATGGCACAATCACGTAAACACTTGCATACTTATACTTAAGACTTCTGAACTCATTCAAAGTTTCTAAACATGGTCTAACAAAAAAAAAATCAAAACAATTCAGCAAGTTAAAAAATAAAACAGTATTTTATAATCAATGTATAAACAAATATATAGGAAATGCGTATTTGTCAGTAATTACCTTTATAGTAGGAAACATGTACTTAAGAAAAACATAGTTATCTGACAAAACTTCAAAACAAAACACCGCCCCCCCCCCCCCAATGCACAACACCTGCATCGCCCACACCAGCGGCGGGCAGTCCCATCAGAACCGCAAGGGCTTGAGCGACTCCACCAGAGAAAAAGTAGCATATGTAGCAAGTCTGTTAAGTATGCCATTTATAAAAAGTGACTGTTATTCATACTTATATAAAAAAGAATTTGTAATTTGCTGAGTATCTTATCCCTCAATGTAATCTGTATAAAAATTACAACGAAACCAAGGAATTTCAAGCACCAATTCAAACTTACGGTCTTTGTATATCTCCTGTTATCCAAGAAACAAATTATGAGGAAGGCTAAGTTCAAATTAGCCAAGTAATTATTACAGTTTTATAGGCATGCGGTTTTTTCCATTCACTTGGATGCCAAACACTGAAAAATGTTTAGGCCAGTAAAGGAATCCTTGGAGGAATCCATTATTTCTGAGTATTACTGGTTTAATATACATTAAAAGCTCTTTAACAAACGCCTGCTTTCTTAGGTCTCATATACACCAGGTCTGCGCACAAGAACTGAAGGGACTGCTCCTCCTCGCGACTGAGAAAAAGGCAGCACGTGACGCCGACCGCTACGGGAAGGAAACGGCGTCAGGACTCAAGGCAAAGGCAACACCATCGCTTGTGGCAAGACTGAAGTTTTTAACAAAAAAATTTCCACTAGACAACTGGGGTGGGAGCACAGCTCAGTAAGAGAGCATTTTTTTTTTCTTTCTGATTTCTTTTTCTGCATCAGGAAAAAAAAAAGCAGTCTGAGCCAGTAGATGAGTAACAGTGTTTGTGATGCCTCTGGTTGTTCCTGAAGAAAACTTGTTCAGATGACAAGGGGTTTATTTTAAATCCATACAACTGCTGTTTTTGTTTCCAGTATTTACATCACACCACTTACATCTGTGGTCATTTCTGAGACATTAATATTTCAGTCTCTCCTGCTATTTAAGAGTTTGGTTAATTTTCAGCACACACCAAACAACCGTTAGGTCGGCTGCATTTGAGACTGAAGGTAAGACCACTGAAAACAGATCGTGTGGAAACCAAATCTCAATCACTAGCGATCTGCCTCACTTCCCGGCCTGTTATCTGACCCCTATCACAAGATCACATGCAGCTGGAGGAGGAGAGAATCGCACCGAAGCCCTGGCGTTAAGACAGGGGTGGGGGGCTCTGCAGGGCCTCGGTGAGAACAGCTTCCCTCTGCTCCTTGCTCATCTCGCTGGATGGCTCCTCAAAAGTAGGCTCACCGAGGTCATCGCTGCCCCCTTCACTCTGTTCCTCGATGTGGTCTTCGCTGGGCTCCATGGTCTGTTCCAGGCTGTTCTCCAGAAGTGTGGGAGAATTGCTTATTCTACTCTCGTCTTCAGCTGCCTCATTTAAGGGCTGAGAAGGAGGCGGTGTGGGAGTATCAGATTGCATGACACTTTCAATGGAAGAGATGGGGGCTTTGGTTAGAGTACCATCGGCTACAATCTCATTTTGAGGCAAAGATAACTTTTCTACAAGTTTCCACTGAATGATGCTCATGTCTTTTCCACCAGTTGAAATCAGGTGACTGTCACTGTGAGTAAAACTGACATTGGTGACATGGCTGCTGTGGGCGCTGTACTTGTGACTGGGAGCCTGTATGAAACAAATCAGACGGGAAAATTAACCTCATTCTTTATGTGCCTCCTTACAGCAATGGAAGCGACGAGGTAAGGGAAGTAATTCAGTTTCTGAAACAGGTAATTCAAACCAAAGCCACAGTCATCAAATCTGAGGAATAGAGCTAGCAGCAGTTTCCTTTCAGTACCTACTTACATGGGAGAAACAAAACAGAGTAATTGGACATACATCCATACTGTCAGACCATATATTTTAAAAAATAACAGTCTGTCTCTTCTGGAGATCATTTTGGTATACTTAGCAGACCTCAGTGACTATTCTGCTGAGATGGCGAAGGGAGAATTTACTAGGCGGGCAGGACTGTAGCTGATTTAGGAAATGGCTCCATAAGTTTTATTTATTTTTATTTATTTTTTATTGAAGAGGTGCAGAGGGGGAGAGAGAGAATCTTAAGCAGGGCCCATGCTCAGGATGGAGCCCAACACAGGGTTCAATTCCATGACTCTGGGATCGTGATCTGGGCCAAAATCACGAGCCAGGATGCTCAGCTGAGAGAGTCCCCCAGGCACTCCGGCTCCATAAGCTTTATAATGGTGATCATATGTGTAACTAAGTATGTTAGCAGGATTAGAAGACATTTAAACCTTCTAAAAATTATTTAAAAGGTAGACGATAAACAATAATAAAACATCAGCTGCCAGCTGCCTTCTGTACTGGTCTTGACCTTAAAAGAAGCAGGGCCTGCACGCCACAGCAGCGTGGGTAACTCTGCACATATCTTCTCGCCACTGTCACAAAATCAGTCCCAAACAAAAGGCCCTACAACACTAGTTTTTATTACATCGATTTTTACCTTTGCTTTGGAGCAGGGATATTGAAACAGATGGACTTTGCAAAAGTCATCAGCAACAGCGATCACCTTCCTGTTGTGGGATCGCACCAGTGCATTGATATCTGTCCCATCGGATCCTTCTGGCCAGACACCTTTGATACGGAAACACAGCAGTGGAGAAAAATCAGTCTAAAACCTATGTAGTATCACAATAACATTTATTTATTTTTAGAATCTTTCATCTTGTGTTCAAACTATTAGCTGCTGACATTTTCCTTACAAATTTCTTAGTAGCGCCATACTTCTTTCAAAGGATGAAGTTTTACCCAAAATCTAATAAAATTAAACCAAAACAGCCTCAAGATGGAAAATTTTAAGACACTAAAGTACTCCCTAGTAACCAGCAGGTGGCACTAATAATTTGTTTTAGCTTAACTCACCTCAGCAAGTAAGTTCCTTTCTAAAGTTTCTAGCTGGAGGGGAAATTCTCAGTTGTACGGCAAGGTGTGGAAACAAGGCCATAGCACTAGTTCTTCAAAGTAGACTGTGGGGAAACTGTATAAATGTACACACTCTTTGCTGTTCACTTCAGGCAGGCACCTGAAGAAAATCTCAAAGATTCTTTCTTAATGGAAATGCATAGACCATCTACAAGCCTATCATGCTGTCCCATAGAATTTTCCTGTAACTATAATTTACGTCCAGAGACATTACAAATTTTTCTGAATTATTATGAGGCACCGGTGATCATGTTCCATGTCATTAGCACAAAACTGTATTAGACTAGATGGAAATTATGGAATGTGTAAGGGCTGAGATGCTGGCCTCCTATGGTTCAGTGCTATTCTAGAGAACAAGTAAGTTCTTGGTAAATTGGCTAAGACGAGTCAAAACCTTTCTTAACTGACACCTCTTACTAAAAGTAAATAAATACTGTTTCATTAACGTAGCTAGGCAAATTACCAGCTATTGGCTATGGCTTCAGTTTCACCCAGAGCAATGAAACTATATGTGGACTAGTCAGGATTATTTTTTAAATTTCTTGTTAGCCTAGTACTCTTCCTCCATCTCTATAGCAGTTGTGTTTACTTTTTTGAGAGAGCAGGCAAGTGGAGGGACAGAGGGAGAGAGAGAATCCCAAGCAGGCTCCATGCCCAGCTTGGAGTCTGACATAGGGCTTGATCCCCTGACCCTGAGATCATGACCGGAGCTGAAATCAAGAGGCAGTATGCTTAACCAACTGAGCCACCTGGGCACCCCCAAACTCCCAAGTTTTATCTTTAAATAATTAATGTCTATTAAAAGTGTCTTTATATTTCAACAGATGGTGGTAGGATACCTGGACATTCACGTGCAAGAGAGTAAGAACTGTTGACAAGGATGTGGGGAAACAGAACCTTGTACATCACCGGTGGGAATATAAATGATGCAGCCACTTCAGAAAAACAATCTGGGGCGCCTGGGTGGCTTAGTCAGTTAAGTGTCCGACTTTCGCTTAGGTCATGATCTCGCGGTTCGTGGGTTTGAGGCCCGTGTCGGGCTCTGTGCTGCCTGCCAGCTCAGAGCCTGGAGCCTATTTCAGAGTCTGTATCTCCCTCTCTCTCTGACCCTCCCCTGCTCACACTGTCTCTCTCTCTCCTAGAAATAAAATAAAAATATAGAAAAGAACAAAAAAAAAAAGAAAAAAAAAATCTGATGTTCTTCAAAAGGTTAAACACGAGGTTACCATTTGACCCTGGAATTCCACTCTGAGGTATAGACTCCAGGGAAATGAAGACGTGTCTATATGAAAGCCTACACATACTTGTTCAGTGCGGCATTATTTATAACAGCTGTGTCCATCAACTGACAAACAGTGCAAACGTGGAAACACTTGGAACTTGGGAATATGCTGTTGGCCTTTCCACCCAGATAGCAAAATGTGGTACTTGCATACAACGGGATATTATTCAGCCATAAAACAAAGTGCTCATACAGGTTACAATGGGGATGAACCTTAAAAACATTCTATAGGAAAGAGGACTGTGTCAGTGCATCACACACTGTATGCCTGCATTTATATGAATGTACTCAATAGGCAAGTCATTAAAGCGGATTAGTGCTGCTGGAGGCAGAGGAAGGGGGAGAGATGGGGAGTGACTGCTAATGGGAAGAGGGTTTCTTTTTGGGATGAGGAAAATGTTCTACAAGTAGATAGTGCTGATGGCCACACAATTCTGAATATCCTAAAACCACTGTATTGTATACTTTAAATAGACAAATTATGTAGTATGTGAATGACAGCTCAATAAAGCTTTTAAAAATGCCTTTACAAATTTAAAAACTTTAGTTTTCAATTGGAGGAAAAACATGGGAAGGCAATCTGTGCTATTTATTAGTGTAAATTTTTTTCCTTTTAATTGTCTTTCATATTTATTGAGGACCAAAAGTCTGCCGGACTTTGCAGAGAACACATTCGCACTGGCTCAATCCTAATCCACTTCATCTCCCTGCATCTGGCATCAACAGTGACGGCACTGAAGAACATACGCAGACTATTTTTCTCTGAGCAATTTAAGTAACTATTATATATAAAAATCCCACAAACTGCCTTTTCCCATCAGGTGTCATGTTCTTACCAAAGACCTGAAAGCCTAGCACGCAGGTGTATGTTGTCCAATCGATGTCCTTACAATCTGATCGATTCCTGATTAGCTTGCAGCCACTTGGAATGTCCCCTTTAAATTTAGAAACAGGAAGTATAACCATAGTGCCTGTGTACAAATGTATTTGAAAGTGCATCTTGATTCAAACTAGCCACGTTTACTTATATTTATAATCCATACACTGAAAAACATTAAGACACATTTAAAAAGGAAAAGAGAACCACAAACTTGTTCCCCACTAAAATTGTTCTTGTTTCTTTAAGAAGCATAAAGGCCCACCCATTATGTCTTTCCTGTCTCCAGGAAGTTGTTAAATACAAAACCATGTTAGAGCGGCAATCTCCCGGAGTAATTTCTTAAGACTATATGTCTACCTATTTAAATTAATTCATCACTTTCTTGGAGAAGTGAACCACATTTGAGATTCTCCCTCCTCTCAGAGTAACATCTGCTGTGTCAAGTCAGAGAGGCCAGCAGGTACTCTCTACACAGCCTGTTCACCTGTGCCTGACAGACCCATCTCAGCCATACGGAGTCGTTCATACTTACAGTACAGTATCTCATAGTCTCCTGAGTTAGACATTATATACTTATTGTCTGGGGACCAGTCAAGATGTGTGATATAGCTGGAATGTCCCTACGGAATAACAGAGCGACTATTAGAAAGCATTCAGTGTTTTGAATAAGTCGTTTAGTAGTTAGTTGATACATTTTCTGAGTAGCCACTCATCTGGAATTTCCAAAGTAGAGAGAGGAGTATCACAGCCTCTAGAACTGAACAGGGCTCACAGCAGGTCCTTAGTTCTTTCTTACCCTCTCTCGTTGGCAACTGAAGATGCAGGTATACAAAACTGTCAGTGATACGTGAAGGGTTGCGGCAGAACTCTGGGAGACAGAGATCTCACCACAGTGCAAACGTGGAAACAATTGGAACTTGGGAATATGCTGTTGGCCTTTCCACCCAGACAGCAGCAACAAGCACTGGCTACTTGTGTCAGACTTCCAAGAAAGAGGAGTCTCTTAAACTTATGCCTTAAAGGATACTTCACAGATAACCATATCCTCAGGCCTTATTTAAAGTCATGGATGTCCCCTTTAGAGGGGCTTCATTTTGGAGAATGAAGTAATGGTTCCAGGCTGTTCACAAAAAGTAAGTTTTCCTAGGCTGCTTCTTAGTATCCACAGTACACCCCAGAGGCTGGGGAATATGGCGCATGTATATGGGTATATGGAGGGCTCCTAGAAAAACTAATCTCCAAAGAATATGTCTGGGGAAAAAGTCACCCAACATGTACTCCTTCAGAACAGCTAGCTGGATCCAATATAATTATCTAACTCCTTAAACAGAGAGACAGTGATTTTTTTTTTTTTAACTTATTCATTCTGAGAAAGTGAGCTTCAGGGGAGGGGCAGAAAGAGGAGAGAGAAGATCTCAAGCAAGCTCTGCACTGAGCTGTCAGCACAGAGCCCGATGTGGGACTTGAAACCATGAACCCTGAGATTATGATGTGAGTCAAACTCAAGAGTCAGACGCTTAACTGACTGAGTCACCTAGATGCCCTAAGACCATGATCTTTTTCTGCTCTGGTTTTACTAACACTGGGAATTAAGACAAAAAACTACTAAATGCTGTATTTTGTTGGCTTGCTATGTGAGCATCTCATGATTCCTAAGATAAACCACACATAGGTCTTAATGGTTTACCAAAGTCAATGGAGAGTCAAAAGCACTTTTATCTCCTACAGTCTGTGGTAAAAGTATATTTAATTTCTATTGTGCTTTTTGAATTACTAGCTTTCTGCACACATTTTTTTAAGTTAAAAAATTCAAAGTACTTTAGGCGCAGTTTTTAATGGTTCACACAAAGTATTCTATTTATTCCCTTACCCTTCTGAAGTCTAACGACACCTCCCTAGAGTTACGATCTCCTCACAGGGCTGTATGGCAAATATATATACTTACACATTTAAATAAATTTACATTATGGGAATTTGAGAACTGTGAAGCTCCCAAACTCACCAGAGATCAGGAGGTATACTGGAAAACGGGTTTGGAATCACCTGCTAGGGAACAATGGAGATCTACCAACTTAACAAGAAATAAATTTTCAAAGCCAGAAAGACACATGGGGTTACTGGATATTTTCTGAATATGGCAGAAGGATGGGGTTCACACAAATCCCTTTCCTGGTGCACACGAGTCTGATGATGCTCGGCCCTGGCGTCAGGAGCCACCATGCTTCTCAGGTAAGAAAACTACATGAAGGAATGATCTTACTAGATTAATCTGCAAAGCGCAGACCTCCAAGAAGTATTCACATTAACGTAGAAGTGTTTAAAAATATCACCTGGATCTTTGTGAAAAGGTTTTAATAACATTACTTAGAAGAGCATCAAAAGCATTATATGTAGGGGCGCCTGGGTGCCTCAGTCGGGTGAGCGTACAACTTCAGCTCAGGTCATGATCTCACAATTTGTGCGTTTGAGCCGCACATCAGGTTGTGTGATGGCGGTGCAGGGCCTGCTTCAGATTCTCGGTCTCCTTCTCTCTCTGCCCCTCCCCCACTTGCTTGCTCTCTAACATTAAAAAAAAAAAAAGCATTGTATGTATACATAATATTCAAGTAGCTCCATCTGTATTGGACACATAACATATTTAGAAGGTAAATCAGTATAAAGTATTCTCAAAAAGGACTGCTGGGTGGCAAAAGTACCCAGTAGAAAAGACCTTGGGGAAGTTACCAGTTCATACCAGAAAAACAAAGTGAGTATTTTCTCCCTTGTATGGATTCTAATAAATAAGCAAAGAAAAAATTAAATGCACAGTTTGGCATCTATGTCCACTTCTAGGTCGTGGAAAATATAGGCACAGCTTGGGGGAAGGGAGCTTCAAATATCACCCCAAGGGCACGGCACAGTTGGGAGGAAAATCTGGCACACCTGTGGGGGTGTCCGGGTGGCCCCGGTGGCTGAATGTCCGACTCTGCACTGGAAACTACACGGAGCCTGCTTAACTTCCCCCCTCCCTCCCCTGCCTGCTCTCTCAAAAAAAAAAAAAAGAAATTTTTTTTGTTTTTACTATACTTCCTGAAAAGAAGCAGTAGAGTACTCTAAGCCAGAACTGTCATTATTGCTATTAAATAATCAGAGTAATAATCACAAGTGATGGAGCTCAAGGATACTACTCTCAAATGAGAAATATTTTAGCTGAATCTTTGTCTACTAGAGAAGCATTTACATCAGTGGTTTGGAGCCCTGGCCTATATATTAAAAATTATATGGAGAGTTTTTTAAAAAGGTGGCTAGGGTTAGGAATCTAACCTTTTCCTTTTAAGTAGGTACCACACATGACTTCCCCTTACCACCTAGAGCAGTGCTAACGGAACTCTCTGTAGTAATGAAAATGCTGTGTATGTATGCAGTCCAGTGCAGCAGCAACTAGCCAGGACCTGAAATATGGCTGGCGCTCCCAGGGAACTGGACTGTATTCAATTTCATGAACAGAAAGTTGTAGCTGTGATGCTGGATAATGCAGAGAACAATCCATTCTTACCCTGATTTGAAATATCTCTTATCATCTAGTAAATTTCCATATAAACAGATCTTTGTTTCTGGTCTCTTTTTTTCTGTTCCATTAGTCTGCCTATCTCCAGCCAACTGTGAATAGTTTTGTGGTATGTGGAAAGTTTCAGATGAACTTTAAAACCATTTTATCAAGCTCATAAATAACATGTTGAAAATTTAAATAAGGGGGTGCTTGGGTGGCTCAGTTAGTTAAAGCCTCTGACTCTTGATATGGGCTCCAGTCATGATCTTACGGTTCAGGAGCTCGAGCCCCGTGTTGGGCTCTGCACTGAGAGTACGGAGCCTACTTGGGATTCTCCCTCTCCCCCTCTCTCTGACCTTCCCCAGCTTGTGCGTTCTCTCTTCCAAAATAAATAAATAAATGAAAATATTTAAGACTGCATCAAATTTAGAGAGTAATTTGTAGAGAACAGCTATTTCTATCAAGTCTTTTGTTTCCTGTGCTTTACTTGCTAGGTTTAGTCTCAAAACATCTACAGTTCTGGTTGCTACTGCAAACAGGATTCTTCCCCCATCAAAGTTCTGATGTCCTTTTGCTGGTCTGAGGGAAAGTTATTATTATTACTTTAGTTTTGTTTATTTACTTAATCTCTACACCCTATGTGGGGCTTGAACTCAAAGACTTCGAGATCAATAGCTGCATGCTCTTCTGACTGAGCCAGCCAGGCGCCCTGAGAGAAAGTTATTCTTTAGCATATAGGCTGCTAGCTACCTATCCAATCCACATTCTGCCACCCTTTTGTTAAATGCCTACTTAAAACACTGGATTTTTCAACTTCTTTTGCAGCTAGAGGTGGTGTAGAAATCATTGAGTAGGGCTTCCAGGCAAACTCTTAAGAGAACTGACTTTGGAGGGGCCATGTCTTTTTCCCTTGCTCTGATCTTTTCCTCCTGGAACTGGGATCTGATGATTGGAGGATGATGGAATATAAAGAAAGGAGGATCTTGAGTCCCTGATGACTTTTATTTAAATGATAACAAATCCCTCATTTTTTACTGTAATATATCCTGTTACATGAACACTGAATCCTATGCCTTTCCAAAGTACTGAAATACTGGATTAGTTTCTTAAAGATTTTTTAATGTTTGTTTATTTAGAGAGAGGGAGAAAGGACGAGTGGGAGAGGGCAGAGAGAGAGGAGAGAGAATTCCAAGCAGCATCTGTGCTGTCAGCATAGAGCACAATGCGTGGCTCACGAACCATGAGATCATGACCTGAGCCGAAATCAACAGGACACTTAACCACTGAGCAACCCAGCTGCCCCATTTTTTTTGGAGATTTCTAAGCAGACTGTTAAAGACTCTTTTATGCTTCTCTTTTTGATGTACATTTTCAATTACCAAAATCCTGGCAAAAAGGACCTTACTTTTATTAGCATAGCATTTCTTTCCTATCAGAATAGACTTTCTAACAGTACACCACTGCACCTTCAATGTACTATTACATTTCCTACACTAAGGTCTCAGAGTAGCAGTGTTAGTTAAATCCTTTTACCAGGAATTGGAGTCAAAGACAAAGCCAGTGTGCTGGCACTCAGATGCAGAATAAAAGCATCTTAATCCTTGGGGCACCTGGGTGGCTCAGTTGGTTAAGTGCCCGACTTCGGCTCAGGTCATGATCTCACGGTTTGTGAGTTTGAGCCCCGTGTCAGGCTCTCTGCTGTCAATGCAGAGCCTATGTCAGATCCTCTGTCTCCCTCACTCTACTCCTCCTCCAGTTTGTCTCTCAAAAAGAAATAAGCATAAAATTTTTTTTTTTAATTTTCAAAAAAAAAAGTCATCTTAATCCCACTGCAAATAGAGTAGAAACTTCAGGTTGGTCAGAACACTTAAACTCTTTCAAGGAAAATATACAATCATCCATAATTAGAAAACTATGTTTGAACTTTCATAGATTCATACTAAATGCTGAAAAACACCTTACATAACACCCGGGGTTGTCTCATCTAGTTCCTGAGCACAGTGCTGCTGCTGCTGCTGGCACCCAACACCAAGCAGAGAACATTCTAGGCACAGGACATACACAGTCAACTCTCAATCTCCCAGGAGCCTG